ACTACTACTACTACTACTACTACTACTACTACTACTACTACTACTACTACTACTACTACTACTACTACTACTACTACTACTACTACTACTACTACTACTACTACTACTACTACTACTACTACCACTACTACTACTACTACTACTACTACTACTACTACTACTACTACTACTACTACTACTACTACTACTACTACTACTACTACTACTACTACTGCTACTACTGCTACTACTACTACTACTACTACCACCACTACTACTGCGACTGTTAAGACTGCGATTATTTCTGATTATTCCGCTTCCTTCTACTACTTGTACTTTTACTTTCTCCTTCGTGCTGTTTCTCAGATTGTGTGCTTCTCCAAACCTTCTCAGGAGGCCCCGCCAGAGCGAGCGGGCTATCGCTATGCCTGTCTCACATATCATCGTACATACGAGTTGCTGGGATGATGAATTTAGCATCCCCCAAGCCCCGAACTGTTATTATCCCCACCCTGTGATTGTCAGGGGCATTCGGTTATTGTTTTCGTTTTCCATGGTGGAGGCCTGGTCCATGCCATTTTTTTGTCGCTGGATCCGAGCCGTTTTCGAACCGGTTCCGGACGTCCTTTGGATCCCCAGGCTGAGATTGCCTAGGACGTTTTGGTGATCCGTTTTTGCACTGTTTCGGTGAACCGCTTTGGTTGTTGCCGTTTTCGTTCTCAAGAGGCGTTTTCATACGGTGAATAAATGCGGCCCTGCCGTTTCCCGGGCCCCCTGAGCCGGGGGCCATGATCTCTCCCTGGATTTCATGACCCCCTCGGCTTATTTCAGCCTTTCCCCCGGCCCCCCCCCCCCGTGGGCTGTCGCGTGTGCCTCCGGCCATGGCCTGCGATCCCACCTCTTGGACGCCAGCCTTGCGGGTGCCCCCGGGGTTCGCCGGGCCTCGTGCCCGCGGCACCCCCCTTCTCTCACGAGAGGAAAAAACACACAGACACAATTAATCTTCGATTCCCCAGAAAATATGGGAAAATATGGGAAGTGGGGGGGAAGACAGAAACCCAGAAAATATGGGAAAATATGGGGAACATGTTTATTTGTGTGTATTTATTTGTGTGTCCTGGGGCCCCTTCATTCTCCCTCGGCCGCTCAGGTGACGGTGCGGATGGCCGGGGACCGGGAGGCCGCGGCACGCATCTGCCGCCTCTGCTTCGCCAGCTTCGAGGGCGGGGCCACGAAGGGGGAGGCGCGGCGAGTCACCACCCACCAAACCACCCCAACCCAACCCGAAGGCTCAGATGTACAATCGACTTCCAGCGGGGGGGGGGTCGGGAAACATCGAAAAAAAAACACGTGTGGAACCCTTACCCCCCCAAGCCGAAATTCGGGTCTTCGGGTGGGGTTGGGGTGGTCTGGTAGGTAGTCAGCGAGGGAGCAACGGCACGGGCGCACAAACTGCTGGAGGCCCGCGCGGACCTCTCGGCTCGGCGCCGGACCTCGAGGGAGGCAGCGCGGCGACCAGGACCAAGCTGTCGCAGGAGCTCGCCGACGCCGGGCTTGGTTGAAGGGGCCCCAGGACACACAAATAAATACACACAAATAAAAATATTCCCCATATTTTCCTATATTTTCTGGGTTTCTGTCTTCCCAACCACTTCCCATATTTTCCCATATTTTCTGGGGAATCGAGGATTAATTGTGTCTGTGTGTTTCTTTTCCTCCTGATTGGTCACGGTCCATGCCGACCGTCGCCGACGCGCGAGGATGATCCACGAGTTGACGATGACCAAGATGGGCGATGACCAAGATCGACACCAGCGTGTCCGCGTTCAGTCTTGGTCATGGTCCTCGTGCTCTTTCCTTCCAGGACCCCCCTCCCACTGGCGCGCCGAGCGCGCCAGCGCGGTGCCGGAGGCGCCCCCCACGCGGGTGGGGCCAGCGCCGACCCGAGAGGGCCGCACGGGCCTCCGAGCGTTTTTGCCCGCGCAGCTCTTCGGTGCCTCCGGAGGTGCTGGCCTACCGGCTGGCTCTGTACCGCAGGTCCGAGGGCGCCCGCTCCTGTGCTCACACCGAGCCGGGCCAGGTCGGTCCGCGGCCCACAGGATCCTCCTTCTCCTCCTCCTCCTCCTCCTCCTCCTCCTCCTCCTCCTCATCCTGTGTGCATGCCCTCCTTCCCAGGCAGGAGGGCGCACTCACCGATGCTGGGCCCAGGATCGGCCGGGCCAGGACCGGTGTGGGTGCACACAGTCGAACCCTGATGGTAAGGAGGACCGACTTCCCAAGGGCACCCTTGCATCCGTGCCTCTTCGGTCATCTTCGGTCCATCCTCGACCACTTCCTTCGATGGCCAGCCCTGCTCGAAGAGCCTCGGCATGGGCGTCCAAGGCCCTTGCATCCTTACCGCGCATCCTTACTACAGTGCCGTTTTTAATACATGCTCCGCGTGCGGATCATGTATGAAACATGCAGGGATTTAGTACTAAAAACAACGATGAGTTCATGCATACATTTATTCATCATACATTAATCATGTATTAAAAATCATGTATGTTTGTAGAATCCTATGTGTTAAGAACTGCCCTGTACATGGGTGGACTGTTGCTGGCGCTCTCCCAGCAGGTTCTGCGGCGACTGCGCTCCGGGCGCCCCCTGCGGCAGGCACTGCGAGGGCCCGCCGCCCGGCTGCGCGGGCGCCCACCGCGGGCCGCCCGCTGCAGCGGGCGCCGCTGCGAGGTGCCTTGCGCCGAGGGGCGTGGAGCCTCCGCGCCCTGGACATCGGGCGTTGCCAGGTGTGTGTGTGTGTGTGTGTGTGGTTGTGTACGTGTACGTGTGTGTGTGGGGAGGGGGAGGAGGGGGAGGGGGAGGAGGAGGAAGGGGACGGAGAGGAGGAGGACGGGGGGACTCCAGAGGACCCCTCACGAGGCCCAGAGGGCCCAATGGGGATGGCGCGAAAAGCTGTGGGCGCCGTTTGGCCAGAACCACTTCTGTCAACCTCCGAGGAGTGGCAGTTGAGGACCTGGACCTGAACAACTCCTTCTGCGAGGTCTGCCAGAAGGGCGGCAGGCTGCTGCTGTGCGACCAGTGCCCGCGCGCATTCCACATGCGCTGTGTGCAGAGGTTCGTGGACAAGGAGAGCTTGGCGCAGAGCAGCTCCTGGAGCTGCCCTATCTGCCGCCACGGCCCCGACGCCCTGAACCCTCACGCGCAGCTCAGCCCGCAGGAGTCCATGGAGAGGGCCATGCGGGATGCCGCGAGGCGCGCTGGGGAGCAGCGGCGGCAGTCCGCCCGGCGGCGCGACCTCCTGCTGGCGGGCCGCTGGGAGCTGGTGGAGCTGTTCGCGACCCGCGGCGCCGCGGCGCGCATCGGCCGCTTGGCAGCCTCGGGCTGCGCCGCTGCGGAGCCGGAGATCGGGAGCGTCGTGCGCCTCGCTAGCGCTGCCTCGGCCCAGGAGCAGGCTGGCGCCGAGGTCGCGCAGGAGGGCGGTGCTGCAGAGCACGTGGTGCTCGCGCAGGTGGGCACGGCGGGCTACCTCGTCGCGGCGCTCGGCTCAGGGGCGGAGCTGCGGACCGAGGGCCGCCTGCTGCTGCCGCCAGAGCCGGGGCGGCAGGCGCAGCCGCCGGACCTGCTGCGCTTCGCGCGGGGCGCGCTCGTGAGCGAGGACACGCGCCTGAAGGACTATCAGGTGGAGGGGGTGAACTGGCTGATCCGCGCCTACCACAACCGCTGCGGGGGGATCCTGGCGGACGACATGGGCCTGGGCAAGACGATCCAGACCCTGGTCGCCATGAGCTACCTGCGGGCATCGGGCGCCGCCTCGGGGCCCTTCCTCGTGGTCGCGCCCCTGAGCTGCACGTGGAACTGGATCCGCGAGGCCGCCCGCTTCGTCCCGCACCTGAGCGTTGCGAGGGTGTTTGGCAGCTCTCAGGAGAAGAAGCACAGCCTGGATGACGATGCGCTCTGGTATGGGGCACGGGACATCGTGGTCACCACCTACGAGAGCCTGGCGTCCACGGAGGACTTCCTGCGCCGCCACCTCTGGGCTGCGGTGGTGCTGGACGAGGCGCACCGCGCCAAGAACCAGGCCGGCAGCGCGCGCGCCGTGCTGGACGGGCTGCGGAGCGCGGGGCGGCTGCTGCTGACGGGCACGCCCCTGCAGAACAGCATGCAGGAGCTCCTCGCGCTGCTCCGCTTCCTGTGGCCGGACGTGTTCCCCAAGGAGTCGGAGGCCTTCGAGCGCGCTGTCAGGCTGCGGGACGTGGACCTCGGCGACGTCGTGGCCACTGGGAGCACCGCGGACGTGGATGCGCCAGTGGTGGCGAAGATTCGGGACCTGCTCGACGCGGTGATGATCCGCCGCCGCAAGGAGGATGTGATCGCGCTGCCCCCGAAGGTCAGGTGGGACGTCTGGCTCCCGCTGAGCCCCGAGCAGACCACCTGGTACAAGACGCTCCTGCGCTGCCGGGCGCGCGTGCAAGAGCGCGGCGGCGTCAGGGCACTGAGGAAGCTGGTGGTGTGGCTGCGCGTGCTCGGCTGCCTGCCGAGCTGCCTGGCCGCCTCGCAGGACGACCGCCAGAGGCTGCTGGACTGCGGCGCGGCGGGGGAGGCCGCCCTGGCGGCGCTGCGGCCGGGGATGCCGATGAGCGACGAGCTGGTGGCCCAGAGCAGCAAGCTCAGCTTCCTGGACAAGCTGCTGGGCCACCTGCACGCGCAGAACATGAGCCTCTGCCCGCGGTGGCGCCGCGCGTTCGAGGAGCGGTGCGGGGGCCGGCCCGCCGGCGAGGGCCCGGCGCAGGCCGCCGCGGCGTGGATCGCCCGCGCCGCCGCCAGCGGCCTCTTCCTGCAGGAGATGCGGCCGTGGAGGGGCGAGGGCGGCAGCGGCGCTGCGGGCGCGCAGGCGGGGGACGGCGTGACGCCCAGGCCGCACAAGGTGCTGATCTTCTCGCAGATTCTCTTGCCTTCGGCCAGCTGGCCGCTTTTCCGCCCCCTTCTTCTCCTCCTGCTCCGCCCCTCCCAGGGGTTGGTAATTCGCTAGCCTCGGTGGCGCGAGTGTCGGCCACGTTGCCGGGACAGCAGGTGGCACATCTCATTGCAGAAGGCCGCGTCGGCAAGACAAAATGAAAAAAAGGTGCTGATCTTCTCGCAGTTTCACGCGTGCCTCGACGTGCTGCAGGCCTTCTGCGGCTGGCGCGGCTGGCGGTCGCTGAGGCTGGATGGCTCGACGCCCAGGGTGCTGAGAGATCTGGATATCCGAGACTTCCACAACGAAGACGAGGACTATTTTGTGTATCTCATCGGCACACGCGCTGGGGGGCTTGGAATCAATTTGACGGGTGCGAACCATGTGGTGCTGTTCGACTCAGACTACAACCCGCACGCTGACTGCCAGGCGGTCGACCGCGCGCACCGCATCGGGCAGAGCAGGCCGGTGAACGTGTACAGGCTCATCCAGGAGTGGGGCGTGGAAGAGCGCCTGGCAGGCATGCAGGAGCAGAAGCTCTGCATCGAGGAGTGCGTGACGCACGGCGGCCCGGCCGGGGACGCCCGCGACCGCGCCCGCGGCGGTGGCGCCGCCGAGGAGGCCGCCGACCACGGCGGCACGAGGAACCGGGAAGAGCTCACGCTGCTGCTGCGCTACGGCGCCCGGTCCCTGCAGGGCTCCTGCGGCGAAGACCTCAGCGGCTGGTCGCTGCAGGGCCTCCTTGCGCGGGGTCGGCGCCCACCGCCCGCGCCGGCAGAGGCCGAAGAGGCTCGGCGACCCGTGAGAGATTGGCCCTTCGCCGGAGGGGCCTTTGGTGGGCTCGGCTTTCGGGGGGCGCGGGGAGGGGGGGCAGACCCTGGACGATGTCGACCGTGTACCACACCAGCGCGATGCACGGCGCCGCTCGTGCCAGCATGCGCGGAAGCGTGCATCGAACTGGAGCTGGTCCGGTGCACGGTTGGCGTCGTCCGGAGGCCCAGGCACGCACTGCCGCCGCTGCCGTACCGCGCACGGCGATCGGCATGCCGCTCACCAAAGGCCACCGCTTGCCTACAGGGTCACTCCCTGCGTGCAGCCGATGAAGAGGACGACCTCCCCGACGGCTCGGACGCGGAGGCGGCGGGCTGCGCGCCAGCGGCCGAACGCGCGGAGTCCGAGGAGTGTGGCGCCCTCGGCGGCCTCGCCAGCGAGGGCGCTCGCGGTCGCGGCGCGCTGGCGCGCTCACAGGACGTGGTGGCCGGAGGGCGCCAACCGCGATACGCCTACGGTAAGTTCGCGTCGTGCGCCGCCAGTGGCCCGGAATCCGCCAGCATTGCGCGATCTGTCGGTCGAACAGCCGCCTGGAACGTTCAAGTTTGAGCGACTCAGGCGGTGCCAGGAACCAACGCCGGGGTCGTCGCGGCACGAGCCTGCTGTACATAGTGTGCGTCCTCCCACAGGTGAAGACGACGGCGTCGGGGCGGGTCGTGCGGGAGGCGAGGGTGTTCAACGCCGCCGCGGAGAGCCCTAGGCGGCGCTGCGCCCCGAGGGCGCCGCTGCGCCACGAGGCGCGCTGCTTCGTCTGCCGCGGTGGCGCGCGCGGCGGCGGGGCCGCCGCTTCGCCGAGCGGCTGCTCCAGGCCGGACAGGCTCTGCGAGCTCTGCCCCAAGGCCTACCACGCCGAGTGCCTCCCGGCCTCGCCCGGCTCCGCCGTGGGTGGGCGCTGGGTCTGCGGCTGGCACCACTGCGCGGGGTGCGGCCGGAAGGCGTCGCTGTGCGGCGGGATGCTGGTCCACTGCGTGGGCTGCCCGGCCGCGTTCTGCATCGACTGCTTCCCTGCGGACTTCCGCCGCGTCCACCAGCCCGAGGAGTTCTGGGCCGGCCTGCGCGACCGGGGCTGGCAGGTCTCCGCGGCGAGCATGGCGCTGTTCCGTTGCAACTCTTGCCGGGCGCGGGAGGAGCACGGCCGGCGGCGCGGCATGTGTGTCGAAGAGCTGCTCGACGAGCAGGGCAGGCACAGGCGAGCGACCGAGGAGGAGCTGCAGGTCCTCGTGGCGGCGAAGCGGCGGAAGGAGGACCAGGAGTCGCGCCGCTGCATGCGGCAGCTGATCCTGGAGCACGAGCGCACGAAGCTGAAGGCCGACCTCCGCCAGGCGCGCCGCGACCTGTTGCGTGCCGCCGAGGGGCTCTGGCCGCGCCTCTTCCGCCAGAGGTGGACGGCGGCGTGCGCTGACCCGGAGGCCCTGGTCGCGGCGGCGCTGGCGAGGTCGCCGTCCAAGAAGCGGGTGGCCTCCTTGCGGCAGCTGAAGGCAGAGGCGGCGGCGCTCGCAGAGCCGGTGGCGCTGTGCGGGAACTGCGGCGTTCCAGGCCACGCCGCGGCAGGCTGCCTCCTCCCTGCGGAGCGGACAACAGACCAGCTGTGTGGGCTGTGCCAGGGCGGGGGGCACGAGCGGATGCAGTGCCCCCAGCTGTCCGCCGAGCAGCAGGCCGAGTACCAGGCCCGCCTGGGGCGGCTCCGCAGGCTGTCGACCGTGCTCGCCGCCGAAGAGCCCATCGATGAGCCTGACGACCCCGTTGGGCTCGACGAGTCGGAATCGTTGATGGTCATGTGGAACCAGACCCAGCAAAGGCTCGCGCCTCGCGCCCATTTCAGTTCGATCGATTCTCAGTTCGATCGATGTGGGGCTCACGTCACAGGGGGCAGCGCTACCGAGGGGCAGCCCATCTCCTCCGATCCCCTCTGTCTGACCCGGGTTTGGGTGCCATTTTGGGCCGCCTCCACCTCCCCTCCCTCCGCTGACCCAGGTTTGAGATCTACTTCGTGGTGGCCCCGTGTTCGCGGCATGACCCTGGCTGACACAGGCTAGCATTGACCCAGGTTAGCGCGTCCCGAATGATCTGGTTCGACATCGAGTTCGCTTGAATCGGATCCGAGTCGATTCCGATCTTCCGATGATCCGATGCGGCCAGATGCGATTCTGCGCAGTTGTGCGTGGCGCGCCCCATCCGATTTGATTTCGAGTCCGTGCTGACGGACCCTGACCCGATGCGCGTTCGGATCCGACCTGATTCCGCGATCCGTCACGGACTGCCTCCCTTACCTCCGACGACGTGCTCCGTTTCACGACGTGGTCCTACGGAGCCCCTGAACCCACCCCCGGGTACGGGCCTTGACTCCTGAGTGTTCTCGGGCAGACGCCGGGCTCGCAACGGAGGGGAGGAGGAGGAGGAAGAGGAGGAGGAGGAGGAGGAGGAGGAGGAGGGGGGGGAGGGAGGAGGAGGGAGGAGGAGGAGGAGGGAGGAGGAGGAGGAGGGGAGGAGGAGAGGAGAGGAGGAGGAGGAGGAGGAGGGAGGAGGAGGAGGAGGAGGAGGGGGAGGAGGAGGAGGAGGAGGAGGGAGGAGGAGGAGGAGGGAGGAGAGAGGAGGAGGAGGAGGAGGAGGGGAGGAGGAGCAGGAGGAGGAGGAGGAGAGGAGGAGGAGGAGGAGGAGGCGAGGAGGAGGAGGAGGAGGAGGAGGAGGAGGAGGAGGAGGAGGAGGGAGGAGGAGGAGGAGGAGGAGGATGGAGGAGGAGGGAGGAGGGAGAAGCAGGCTGGCCGTCGTGCCTTCTCTCGACGCTGGGGCGTCTGGGCCCCCGGCCTCAAAATCGACCGCCTGGGCCTCTGCAGGGCCGCGCCCTGGGTCAGGATTTTTCAGCCGAGCCCAGCCGTGGCGGCGAGAAAACCCCTTAAGGCCCCAGGAAGGATCCAAGAGCGACCAAAAGACAGCCCGTCTGCGTGGCTGGACGCTTCGGTTCCACTCGTTTGCGCGGCACTTCGTGTGGCTCGATGGCTTCACGGATGCGTTTCCGAGCATGCCATCGTGCTGTGTCCGCTCCTCCTCCTCCTCCTCCTCCTCCTCCTCCTCCTCCTCCTCTCCCTCTCTTCCTCCTCGTCCTCTGCCTCTTCCTCTTTCTCCTCCTCCTCCTCCCCCTCCCCCTCCTTCTTCTCCTCCTCCTTCTTCTCCTCTTCATCCTTCTCCCCCTCCTCCTCCCCCTCCTCCTCCTCCTCCTCCGCCTCCTCCTCCTCCCCACCTCCCCTCAAACGAACTGTTAGCCAGCGTGAGCCGAAACAGTGCGTTCTAGAATCCCAGGTGGTGCAATCTACGTGGTGCAAGCTATGTGATCGAAGCTATGTGGTGCAGTCTACTTGGTGCAATCTTTGTGGTGCGAGCTTTATGTGTGCAACATACGCAGTGCAACATATCTTTTTGCGATCCATGCTAAACTATGTGGTGCAATCTATGTGGTGCAATCTGTGTGGTGCAACCTATGTTGTACAATATGCGTGGTGTGAGCTATGTGGTGCAGTCACTGTTGAGTACGCTATGTGGTGTAAGCTATGTAATGCAAGCTATGCGGTGCAAACTCTGTGTTGCAAACTATGTGGTGCAGGCTATGTGCTTGAAGCTTTCTGGTGCACTTGATGTCTGTTAGCAGTGAGTTATGAATTCCACTGCTCGCACAATCACCCCACCCACCCTCCCGCAACTGTGTTTGCAAAGCCCAGGCGGCGTCGATTGCGATGACTGCTTGGCGCTGGCTGGCGCATCGCTGCGGCCGTGCTCGCAGGCTCGCGCTCACAGCGGCCAGCTAGTCTGGCCCGACCGCTGCGGCCGCTGTGGCGTTGACCGCTGGGCATGTCCCAGCGCGCCGCGCAGGCTGCGCTGACGCGCGGGCGATTCATTGAGAGTCGGGGATTCGGGCGCGCGCGGTATCATGGCGACGTCGACAACGGCAGACACGATGATGATTGTAGCGGTGCTGGTGACGACCATGACGATGAACGATGGCAAGGCCACTGACGGCGCCGATGCTGATCACGCCGATGACGGACATGGCGTCCTCGCGTCGGTGATGCAGTGATGCAGGTTCCGGAAGGAGTTCGACATGCGCGTGCGGCCGACGGGCGCGAGTGGCCCACATGGTATTATTTGACAGGGATCGTGCCCCCCCCAGCACGCGCGCACGGGGTTTCAATTGGCTTCGACATGCGCGCACGACGTGCCCGCTTGGTCGCATGTGGTGAACAGTGAACATGTTGAAAAAAACCCGGTTTTTTCGGAAGAATTCGCAAGAGCGCGCGCGCAGACCTTTTTGAAACGTCATGTTGTGAAACCAGGTTTTTGTTCATGCGCTATCGGGACACGATTTTGAATTCATTGCGAAACGTGCGTTTTTTTTTCATGGATTCCGGCATGCGCGCGCGACGACGCGCGAGTGTGCGTTTTGTCACAGTTTTCGGCCAGGGATTCTTTGCAATTGACGGTCTATGATGATCAACGGGTGTGCTCGCACAGCGTTTTTTGGCAGAGGATGGTAGGGGGGGGGGTCGAACCTGGTTTGCCTGGGATGGTCTGCGTTCTTATATCGAAGCACGATTGGGCAACATCGTATGTAACTTTCAAACCCCCAGAGGTCCTGGCCTCGGGGGGTGGTAGTAGATCGTACTTCCGCTCTAGAGATGAGGGCCTACGTTGCGAAATCTAGGTGGAGCAGTCTATGTGGTGCAACCCATCTGGTGCATGGAGTTGTCAACTCCACTGCTCGCGCAATCATCCCACTCACCCACCCGCAACTTGGTTTGGAAAACCAATGCGGCGGCGATCTCGTTGAGTGCTTGGTATTGGCTGGTGCATTTCTGCGGCCGCGCTGGCCCGCGCATGCTCGCGCGCAGAGCGGCCAGCTAGTCTGGCGCGACCGACGCGGCCGCGGTGGCGTTGACCGCTAGGCGTGTCCCAGTGCGCCGAGCAGGCTGCGCTGACGCGCGGGCAATTCATTGAGAGTCGGTGGCTCGGGCGCGTGCGGTATCATTGCGACGTCGACAACGGCAGACACGATGATGATTGTAGCGGTGCTGGTGACGACCATGACGGTGGACGACTGCAAGGCCACTGACGGCGCCGATGCTGATCACGCCGATGACGGACATGGCGTCCTCGCGTCGGTGATGCAGTGATGCAGGTTCCAGAAGGAGTTCGACATGCGCGCGCGGCCGACGGGCGCGAGTGGCCTGCATGGTATCACTTGACAGGGATCGTGCCCCCCTGTTGCACGCGCGCAAGGGCGTTCGAACGATTTTGACATTTGGCGCGAGAGGCCCGTTTAATTGAATTTTACATTACTCTTGAACAGATCTTGTATTTTCTACAATTCGCAACAGCGCGCGCATTTTTCGTTTGAGAACTCATGTTGCAAAGCAATGTGCTTGTTCTGGGACGCTCGCTGTTTACATCCTTGCGCAACTCAAGGTTTTCGAAGTATTCCGGCATGCGCGCGCGACGACGCGCGCGTTTGCACTTCACCACATTTGTTGCCACAGGTTCCTGCGACAGCACGCGCGCAACGCCTTTCGAACGATTCTGGCTTGCGCGCTCAGAAGCACGTTTGGTCGCATTCGATGAACAGGTTGAAACACTCATTGTTCCCCTTAGAAATCGCGAGAGCGCGAACGCATTTCTGTAAAGAAGTTCAGTCGCGTTTTTGTCGGGACGCCTGATATAGAACTCCTTCCCCCCCCAGGTTTTTGAAGGATTTCGGCATGCACGCGCGACGACGCGTTTTTGATGGGAGAGGGCTGATCAGAGAGTGTGCGCGCATATTTTTCCTGCAGAGGGTGAGGGGGGGTCGGTAAGAGACTGCTTGGGATGGTACGAATTCATTTCTAGGATGGGTGATGGGGCAGAACCATTCGTAAATTTCAATGCAAAAAGGCGGGCGGGCCGTTGAGTCCGGCGGGGGGTGGGTAAATCTCATCAGTGTTGTAGAATGGAGAATACGCCTGGCGCAAGCCATTCTATGCAACACATGCTAAGCATTGCCAATCAATGCAAATCAAAGCACAGCAATGCAAACCACTTCGAAGTAATGCAACACAATGCGCAGCAATGCAAACTGCAGCTGCAAAACAATGCAGAACAAAGCAACACAGTGTAGTTAGAGCAATGCAGATCACTGCGACATAATGCCAAGCAATGCCGAGCAATGCCCAACAATGCAAAGCAATGCAGGCAATGCAGGGCAATCCAAAGCAATAGCAAGCAATGTAGTGCGATGCGAAGCTTGCGATGAGATGAGAACGGGGGTGGGGCGCAACGGGGGTGCGGCGACGAGGCGGCGACGGGGGCGGCGACGGCGACAACAAGCTGGCCGAGTCGACACCTAGGTCCAGGCGACGGGTGGCGACGAGGCGGCGACGGGGGCGGCGACGGCGACAACAAGCTGGCCGAACTGACGCCCAGGCCCTGGCGACGGGTGGCGACGAGGCGGCGATGGCAGCCTCGACGGCGACAACACGCCCGCAACCGACACCCAGGCCCAGTTCTTTTTAGATCAAATATGGACCCCTCAGTCGGCCACGTTCGTAGGACGGCCTTGCGACGAACATGATAATTGCCAGCACACTTGGCGAGGCGACTAGTATATATTATCGCGGTCCGCGCCCATCTCCTGATCCCCTCAGAAAGTATGAACACATGATTGCAAACACTGTTTGGGAAAATCATTCCTCGCCGCAGAAGAACCTAAGCAGTTTGGCGCTGTGGCGGAGAGAGAGGGGCATAGACGGAGATGCATAATCGGGTGACGCTGAGGGGAGAAGGGGGAGACAACGGGAGGCAGTGGCGCCCTACCGATTCCAGATTACGGTCGCCCCGTACCCGGTGTCTGTGACATCGTATGCAGGACCGTTACAGACAAGCTGTTCAGGGAAACACGCCTCGACCCCCGATCCTGGAACCCTCCTTCTGCTCCCCCTCCTCCTCCTCCTCCTCCTCATCCTCCTCCTCCTCCTCCTCCTCCTCCTCCTCCTCTCCCTCGTGGCGTCCTCCCTGCCCGTCCTCTCACACTCTTGGCCCAATGCTAATGAAAACGAGTATCCCAGTCAGCGCTGCCATCAGATCGTAGTGCTGAGCTTCCATATTCACCACGAGTTGAAAGCTGACCTTGCGGGGAGGCCAGAGCGGCCACGCCCACCTACCATTACGAAACACGAGCCGCAGCCCTCGTCGCCATGCGATGCTAGAGCCCTGGCAGTAGCTGGGCCACCGTTGGTTTAAGCTACCTGCGCTCCTGCTCCTTCTCCTCCTCCTCCTCCTCCTCCTCCTCCTCCTCCTCCTCCTCCTCCTCCTCCTCCTCCCTGAAAGGGGCAATCTTCTGAGCAGGGGCTTGTGCAAGTCATTGTCATGTTCTATAGCGTCGACTACGCGTAGTCCTGGCTTGATTGTGCTTCACACACACACGGCCTTCGGCCTTGCATCCTCTCCTCTTGGGAGGCGTAATTGCGTTGCTATCGTTGTGACAGCTGGAGCCTGGGAATGTCCTCTCGCCGTCTGCTGCTGCAGCTTGGCCCCCCTCGCCCCTCTCCTCACGGCCAGTGTCGCTCCCTCCTCTCCTCCTCCTCCTCCTCCTCCTGCTCCTCCTCCTCCTCCTCCTGCTCCTCCTCCTCCTCCTCCTCCTCCTCCGTTTCCTCCCGCCCCTGCAGCGAAAACAAGCGAGCCTCGGCCCCTCTCTCCCCGGGCCCCCCCGCAAGGGTCGAGCAGAGGCTCCGCGCCGCGCTGCAGGCCTGCGACCTCGGCCCGCCCGCGGGCGCGCCGCCGCGCGCGCCGCCGCCGCCGCCGCCCCCGAGCGGGCGAGTCGCGACGGCCTCGTCGCCAGCGGCGTTCTCGGGCGGCGTCGCCCCCGACAGCACGACGAGGCACGACGTTGACACCGCCGTACTTACGAGGGCTGCATCCCAGAAGTCATGCCGAGCTCCCAGAGCAGTATGGAGGCAGTGTCTGCCCCCCACACGCTGGCGGAGTGTCGAGCGAGCATCGCCTCCAGGGCCCGACACCTTTTTTTTTGCGTCGGCGGCTAGGCAGGGTGACTGCGCTGGCGGAAAAAAAAACATGGGTAGGGCATACGCGCGCGAATTAAGCCCGACACGTGAACCCTCCAGTTTCGGTACTGTCTTGGTGCTCGAAATGGTTTCTGGTAATGCAGGCTAAAGTAGGTTGGAGTATCATGAGACGAGGCTCAGAGGAAGGCGAGTTGATCGAGTGAAGAGACACGGGGACCATGCCCAGGACGTCGCGGAGTTATGTCAATGCCGGTCTTGGTCATGGTCCGTGTGGGCCGTCGCCGATACCGCGAGGGTGATCCACGGATTGGCGCTGACCAAGATCGACAGTGGCCAAGATCGACACGGCCGCGTTCAGTCTTGGTCATGGTCCCAGTTCTTATTCCTGTCTAGTTGAGGTAGCGGTAGCTGGGCCTCGGGGGGTACCCTCGTCGCGACGGCCAGACGCAGCTGGGTAAGCTGGCGCGTTGGGGGTCTGGGGGCCCACTTTGAGCTGCCGTTGTCTCAGCTCGCCTGACTCCGAAGAAATCAGGGAGGAGAGGGAGGGAGGGAGGAGATGGAGGGAGGGAGGGGAGGGAGGGAGGGAGGGAGGGAGGGAGGGAGGGAGGAGGAGGAGGAGGAGGAGGAGGAGGAGGAGGGGAGGAGGAGGAGGAGGGGAGGAGGAGGAGGAGGGAGGGGGAGGAGGAGGAGGAGGAGGAGGAGGAGGAGGAGGAGGAGGAGGAGAGGAGGAGCTCCGCGCGGATTCCTTAGAACCTGCGCTGCGGCTCCTCTGCCGCGCTCCGCGCGCCAGGGAGGGAGGTCCAGCGCAGATCCAAGAACTCTGCGCGGAGCTCCGACAGTTTATAGTTCTGTTGCCTTGAACTCGAGAGGCGCCTGCAGCGGAGGCCCTCAGACTGCAGCGACGGCGGGCCCTCGGCGAAGAGGCGGAGGCGCGCGAAGGCTGGGGTGGGGGCCAGCAGCACGCACCTCCGCGCCGGCCTCGGCCAGGCCCGTCCTTGGGCCCAGGGCCGGTGCGCGCGCGCCTTCCCCGGGCAGGCGCCGGGGCGGCGCATGCCGCGCTGATCCTGGGCCCACGGGAGGGCCTGGCCAGCACCCGGCGTGGTGTGCAGCGCTGTCGCCTCCGCCCACAAGAGGGCCCCGCGTGAGGCCCGCGCCCCGCGCGCGGCGGCGCCGCTCCCGGCGGCGCCGCTCCCGGGCAGCGCGAGGCGGCGGGCGCCGCGGCGGCGCCCTGGGAGGGCCCCCGGCGGGAGGCCCGCGCGGGGGCGCGGCGGCCCCGGCCAGCACGAGGCGGCGAGCCTCCTCGCGGCGGCCGCGGCGGCGCCTTCCTTCGGAGCGCCCGTGGGCCAGTTCTTCTGCCGGGGTCCGGGCCCCCCGCTGGCCCACAGTGGATAGGAGGGGACAGCGGCGCAAGCATGCCAGGAGGCTGGGTGCGCATGGCGCGGCCGGCCTGGGCGAGAGCTGGATTCACACGTGGCCAGAGGTCTCTCTCTCCAGCAGGAAGGGGGGGAGGGAGGGATGGAGAGAGGGAGGGAGGAGGATGCGAGGCAGGAGGAGGGGGGGAGGAGGAGGAGGAGGAGGAGAGGAGGAGGAGGAGGAAGGAGGAGGAGGAGGAGGAGGAGGAGGAGGAGGAGGAGGAGGAGGAGGAAGAGGAGGAGAGGAGGGAGGAGGAGGAGGAGGAGGAGGAGGAGGAGGAGCAGGAGGACAGGGAGGAGGAGGAGGAGGAGGGAGGGAGGTGTGTACGTTTGGAGATCGCAGTAGGCCTGTTGGGCGCAGCGCGAGCCTGCTTGATGTCTTATTCGCCTGGCTGATCAGCTCGGCCAGGGTTGCCATTACTTTGTAATGGCAGTGGCCAGCGCTGACTCCAGAGATCTGCCAGTGTAAAGGGATACAATCGGATTCCAACGAAGACCAACTTCTCTCCCCATCAGCCTCTCCGCCGTCTTCGCAGTAACCACACATCTTGCTCTCTCTCTCTCTCTCTATCTCCCTCACTCTAGTTTTTGTGTGATTGTTTTTTTTTGATCTCGCTCTCTTTCTCTCTCTCTCTCGCGCGCGCTGTCTCGCCCTATCCCACCGCCAGAGTCGAGCCGTAGCCTCTGTCTTATTCGCCTGGCTGATCAGCTCGGCCAGGGTTGCCATTACTTTGTAATGGCAGTGGCCAGCGCTGACTCCAGAGATCTGCCAGTGTAAAGGGATACAATCGGATTCCAACGAAGACCAACTTCTCTCCCCATCAGCCTCTCCGCCGTCTTCGCAGTAACCACACATCTTGCTCTCTCTCTCTCTCTCTATCTCCCTCACTCTAGTTTTTGTGTGATTGTTTTTTTTTGATCTCGCTCTCTTTCTCTCTCTCTCTCGCGCGCGCTGTCTCGCCCTATCCCACCGCCAGAGTCTATCCGTATCCACGACCGAAACGTAGGTCTGCTCTTTCTTTGACCTTTGCGCCATATCACTATGAGTTTATATATATATATATATATCTCTGAGACAGACGGTGAGAGGGATGTAGAAACAGCGAGGGGGAGAGAGAGAGCGAGAGAGAGAGAGAGACAGAGAGAGAGAGAGAGAGAGAGAGAAAGAGAGACATACAGCCATTCCTGGCCTTCCTTCTACACCACCCCGCTCTCGGCAAGCAGTGCTGCCCTGCGATGGAGACAGAGAAAGAGAGAGAGAGAGAGAGAGAGAGCGAGGAAGAGAGAGAGAGAGATATGTTTTTCTTCTCTGTCTCTCTCTCTCTCCCCCCTTTGTTGTTCTCTCTCTCTCTCTGTCTTTTTTCTCTCCCTCTCTTATCTGTTCTCCCTGTATATGTATATAGATGTGTATATATATGTGCATATATATATATATATCATATACATACAGCTCACTCTCTTCCTCTCTATGTTTCTCTGTCTCTCTTTCCCCTCCTCTGGATCTTTGTACACAATATGCATGGAGTCCCCAAACATTGCTTGCACTAAAGGGTTCTTGCCTAGTGCTAAGGAGCTGGGCCTGTCTGTCGGTCTGATGGCTATGTTGCCGCCGTCGCCGCCCCGTCGCCGCCTCGTCGCCGCCCATCGTCTGGACCTGTCTGTCGGTTTGTCGGCTATGTTGACGCCGTCGCCGCCCCGTCGCCGCCTCGTCGCCGCCCGTCGTATGGGCCTGTTCGTCGGTCGCCGCCCTTGTTGCCGCCGTCGCCGCCCCGTCGCCGCCTCGTCGCCGCCCGTCGTCTGGGCCTGTCTGTCGATCTGGCGGCTATGTTGCCGCTGTCGCCGCCCCGTCGCCGCCTCGTCGCCGCCCGTCGTCTTGGCCTGTTTGTCGTTATCCGCGCTTGTTGCCGCCGTCGCCGCTCCGGCGCCGCCACACATAGATTGCACAACATTTTTTGCGCAGCATGGATTGCACAACATATATACCACCACGCACATTGACCACATACATTGTGCACCACGTAGATCGCACAACATGGATGTTACCACGTTGATTGCACCACATAGATTGAACCACATAGATTGCACCACAGAGATTGCACCATATGTATTGCACAACATAGATACACAAGATTTTACCAGCTCGCTACGATTCGCCGTTGCTATCTTGGTCGCATGGTGCCAGCGAGGTGCGCTGCGATCGCCATTGCCGTCAACTGGGAATCGGTGAGTGGGGCGGCGCGGTCCCCGAGCTTTTGGAGGTGGCGGGTGCCACGGGTCTGGAAGGTCTCCCGAAGGCTCTAGGGCGCACGAGGTTTGTATTGTTCACTAGGGTCATAGGGTCACACATCTCATCAAGTTTGAACGGCATACGGGGTTATCGGCTTCAACAGGAACGAATAGTTCCCTGGGGTTCATTTTTCAGGAGGCTGGGGCTGGAGCTGGGCTCGAGCTGGATCTGTGGCTTGAGGTGGAGCTGAGCTGGAGCTGGAACTGGAACTGGAACTGGAGCTGGAGCTGGGGAGTTCCTGCAGTTGCTGCCACAGCTCCCAGACGTTCTCGTCCTCGTCGTCGTCCTCCTCCTCCGCCTCCTCCTCCTCGTCCTCCTCCTCCTCCTCCTCCTCCTCCTCCTCCTCCTCCTCCTCCTCCTCTCGGAGAACACGAAACGCTGGAGGGTTGGATCGGGGCACAGAAGAAATTACCCCAGCAAAGCTTGCGAATAGCAGCAAAGGTGACCCATGGGACTTTTTCTGTATTTGTTGGACCTGTGGGTTTACCGGACCTGCGGCACCTGTGGAACCCATGGGATGTTCGACACCTGTGGGAATTGTGGGACATTCGACACATGTAGTAGGACCTATGGGACCTGTGGGACCCGTGATACTTGTTGTATTTGTGATACCTGCGATTTGGGACCTGTGGAACGTGCGGGACCTGTGGGACCTCTGGGACCTGTTGTGCCTGTGGAGCCCGCGAGACGTGCGACACTTGTGGGACCTGTGGGACCTGTGCGACTTGTGGGACACGCGAGACCTGTGGCATTTGTGGGTCCTGCAAGACCTGTAAACCTATTAGACCCGTGGGGCCTGTGGGACCAGTGGGACCTGTGTGGGACCTGTAGAACCTGCGAGATCTGCGAGACCTGTGAGACCTGCGGGACCTGTGGTACCTGTAGTACCTGCAGGACTTACGGGGCCTGCGAGACCTTAGACACCTGTCGGACCTGTGGGACCTCTGGGACCTGTGGGACCTGTTGGACCTGTTGGACCTGCGGGACATGTGGGACCTGTGGGACCTGGGGGGCCTGCGAGATCTGTGGGACCTGTGTTGCATGTGGAACGTGCGGGGCCTGTGGGGACTCTGAAACCTGCGAGACCTTCGGGACCTGTGGAACGTGATGGACTTGCAGGAGTCTTTATGGGAGACTTCTTGGGGTCTCTTGGGGGCTCCCGAGATCAGATCATTCAAGCATTTCTGGGGCTTCCCCGGGGCGTCTTTTGAAGACGCCTTGGGGGCTTTGGGGGCCTCTTGGGGGCCTCTTCGGGGCCTCTGGGGGCGTCTTGGGGGCTCCTCGGCGGTGTCCAGGGCCATGTTTTGGGGAACAACTAGAAATTTCAGTTCGGGTTGTCCTCCTTGGGGCCCTCTTGGGCCGTATTGCGGGGCTTCTTTGGTTGTTTTTGGGCCCTTTTCGGTTGTCTTGGGGGCCTCTTGGGCAGTCTTGGGGCCCTCTTGAGACCCACTTGGCCGTCTTCGGGCGATCTTTGGGGCCTCTTGGGCCGTCGTGCGCTGTCGGAAGCTCGACAAAACGAGAACGTTTAAATCGATCGAAAACCTAAGGAACATCTATGAATTTTGGCCTCTGGGGCCCTCTTGGGGGCCATTTTCGGGCTCTCGTGGGGCGTCTTGGAGGCCCTTTGGGCCACCCTGAAACCAGCATGGGCGCTCTGGAGCGGTCTTGGGCGCTGTCGGTTCTTCGCAGGACCGTCCAGGAAGCGAGCCTGGGCCCGCTTCTGGCGGCTTGGGATGGCCTGAAGGGGCTCCCGGAACCGCCCAGGGCCGAATTTGTGTAGGGGGCCGAACTTATGTAGGGGGGGGGTCACCCGAGATTTTCCGCTATAAGAATATTCGAAGAGGACTCTGTATATACACGCGTATATGTATACATGCATACACATGCCAACATCGATTACACTACGTAGATTACACCGCATACATTGTTCCACATCTGTTGCACAGCATACTACATTGTATCTCGTAGATCGCACCGCATGCTTTGCACAACGTAGATTGTACAACATACACTGCATAAGGTGTGTTGTACCACATTGATTGTTTCACAGAGATTTTCCTTTCTAGAAGTGTATTCGGATCCCCCCCCGGACTTAACGGTTCATCTTTTCGTCTTGCAATTTGCACATGATGCTGTCCTATCGTCAATTATGAAGTCATATCATCCCAGCCAGACCGGTAACAGTTGACCCCCCTTCATCTTTTTTAAAACATATTGTGCGCTCGCACTCGTTTATCAAAAATCGTCAGTTGTCAAGAGCCCATTGCAAAAGACGGGACGAAGTGCACACGCGCGCGTCGTCGCGCGCGCATGCCGAAGTCTTTCAAACACCTTAGGTTTCGTAGGGGTTTCAAAATAACAACACATGTTTTCGCAACAAGAACCTTCAACAAAAAGCTTGCGCTCGGGTTCTTGCGAGTTCTTGAGGAAACCATCGTTTTTTCAAACGTTTTTTCAACTGGCTACCAAACGGACCTCTCGCGCGTGCATTTCCCGTTTCTGTGCTGAGATCCTCTCCTTTCTATCATCCTTTCTCTTCGCATCACTTATGGTCTCTTCTCTTCTCTCTTCTCCTGGCTCATTTTCGCTCCTCCCCTCCTCCCCTTCTCCTCCTGCGCCTCCTCCCCCTGGGCCTCCGCCTCCTCCTCCCTCCGTCCTCGACCGACCGATCGACGATGAGGGCGACGGCGCCAAGGTCAGCATCAGAGGGCCCAGCAGGGGAAGGGGCAGGCCTTCAGAAGTCGCAGCGCGCGCTACAAGATGCACATCTCCTACCTGGAGAGCGCCGCTTGGGGGCCAGGGAGGAGTTTGGAGGAGTTGTGAGGAGGAGGAGACAGGAGACATGAGACGGGATGATGATGGTACTGATGATGACGATGATGACGATGAAGAATAAGATGATGATGATGATGCTGATGATGTTGATGATGTTGATGATGATAATGATGATGGCGATGATGATGCTGATGATGATTATGCTTCTGCTGCTGCTGATGATGATGATTGTTATGATCATGATTATGACGAGAATGGTGATGCTGAGGAGGATGACGAGGATGATGATTAGAATGAGGATGAGGATGATGATTGTGCTGGTTATGGTGATGATGATGATGATGATGATGATGATGATGATGATGATGATGATGATCAAGATGATGATGCCGATGATGTTGATTAAGACGGCAGTGAGGATGCTGCTGATGATGACGACGATGGTGATGATAACGATGATGATGTCAATGCTGATGGTGATGGTGGTGATGACGATGATAAGGATGATGACGATGATGATCATGAGGATGGTGAGGATGATGATGATGAGGATGAGGAGGATGACGAGGATGATGATGAGGATGATGATGATGCTGATGACGATGACGATGACGATGACGATGACGATGATGATGACGATGATGCTGATGATGATGCTGTTGGTGATGATGATGCTGACGATGCTGATACTGCTTATGATGATGGTGATGGTGATACACGTTATGCTGAAGAAGACGATGATGCTATGGTGATGGTTAGAATGATGATGAGGATAAGGATGCTGGTAACGATGGTGCTGCTGATGATGATACTGATGCTGATCATGATGATGATGCTGACGAAGATGATGAAGGTGGCGACGATGATGATGATGATGATGATGATGATGCTGCTGATGATGATGATGATGATGATGATGATGATGCGGAGGCTGATGATGGTGATGCTGATGATGATTATGATGCTGAGTATGATCATGATGCTGACGACGGTGATGATGACGATGCTAATGGGGAGGATGAGGAGGATGAGGAGGATGAGGCTGAGGCTTAGGATGAGGATGATGCTGGTGATGATGATGATGATGATGATGATGATGATGATGATGATGATGAGAGTGAGGACCAAGATGATGATGATGATGCTGATGGTGAAGTTGATGATGAGGATGATGATGATGATGAGTTGGATGATGAGGCCGGTGATGATGAGGATGAGGATGAGGATGAGGATGCCGATGATGATGATGTTGATGATAATGATGAGGGTGATACAGATGCTGACGACGACGCTTATGATGCTGGCGAAGATGATGACGCTGACTATGATGATGCTGCTGTTGCTGACGACGGTGTTTCTGATTGTGACGATGATGATGATGCTGACGATGATGGTGGTGGTGGTCATGGTGATGGTGATGATGATGCCGATGCTGATGCTGATGCTGATGATGACGATGATAATGATGATTCAGACCACGATTAAGCTGATGACGACAATGATGATGAGGAGGATGAGGAGAATGAGGATGAGGACGGGGATGAGGATTAGGATGAGGATGAGGATGAGGATGATCTGGTGCTGGTGATAATGAGGATAAATGTCGCGATGCCGATTCTGTTGATTTTGCTGATTCTGATGATGCTGATTTTGACGAAGACGATGTGATCATGATGATGATGACGGTGATGATAAGAATGAGTACGACGGTGATGACGATCATGATGATGATTTTGGTGATGAAGATGAGGATGCTGTTGATTGTCAGGATGAGGATGAGGATAAAGATGCTGATGATTATGCTGCTGACGACGATGATGCTTATGCTGATGGTGACGACGACGAAGGCGACGGTGATGATGATGATGATGATGATGATGATGATGACGACGATGCGTATCATCATGGCTATCGTGATGATGGCGATGATGAGGATGATGATGATGATGATGATGATGATGATGATGATGATGAGTTGGATGATGAGGCTGGTGATGATGAGGATGATGCCGCTGCTGCTGCTGATGACGATAGCGATGTTGGTGATGAGAATGATGGTGGTGATGACGATGCTGATGATGATGGTGATGCTGAGTATGATGATGATGCTGATGATGATTATGATGATGAGGATTCTGATGAAGACGATGATGCTGATGATGATGATTATGATGATTCTGATCATGATTATGGTGATGACGACGATGACCTTAAAGAGGATGAGGGGGATGAGGGCGAGGATGAGGCTGCTGCGGGTACTGCTGATGTTGATGATGATGTGGCTCAGGACCAAGGTGATGACGCCGATGATGTGATTAGGATGATAATGCTGATGGTGACGACGACGATGATGATGATGATGATGATGAGGATGATGAAGATGCAGATGAAGATGATGATGAAGATGGGTATACAGATGATGATGCTGCTGATGATGATCATGCTGATATTGCTTATGATAATGACTATGATGCTGATGTTGGTGATGACGATGACGATGATGATGATAATCATTCTTGTGCTGATTATGATGATGAGGATGATTCTGATTCAGATTCTGATTATTGTGATGGTGACTATGGCGATGAGGAACGTGATGAGGATGCTGATCATGATGATGATGCGGAGTTTGATGAAGCTGATGTTGATGATGGTGGCGACGATGATGACGATGCTGCTGATGATGGTGATGCTGATGATGACGGCGATGGTGATGATGATTATTATCATTCTTCTTTTATTATTCTTACTATTTTCTTCTTCTGATCATGACTATTTCGATGATGGCGATGATGATTCTGATTAGGAGGATGAGGAGCATGAGGATGAGGAGGATGAGGATGAGGATGAATCTCAGGATGTGGATGATGCTGGTGATGATGATGAAGACCAAGCTGATGATGCCAATGATGTTGATTAGGATGATGATGATGCTTATGATGACGACGACGATGATGCTGATAATGATAATGAGGATGACGATGGCGATGCTGCTGCAGATGATGATGGTTATGCTGACGATGCTGCTGGAACTTCGGATGGTGATGATGATGATGATGATGATGATGATGACGAGGATGATGATGATGATGATGATGATGATGCCGATGCTGATAATGACATTGGTGATACTGGAGATCATGATGACGCTGATCATGCTGAAGATGCTGCGTATGCTGGTGATTTTGAGTGTGGTAAGCTGATGATCATGATTCGGATGATGATGATGATGATGATGATGATGATGACGATGACGATGATGATGATGATGATGATGATGATGATGAGGATGATGATGATGAGGATGGGGATGGGGACGATGATGATGCTGCTGCTGATGATGATGCTGACTATGATGATGATCGATACGATGATGCCGATGATGTTGATTAAGATGGCAGTGATGATGCTGATGGTACAGGCGATGGTGATGATGATGATGATGATAATGACAAACGAATATGATGATGACGATGATGATGATGACGATGATGATGGATGATGGTGATCATGATGCTGGTGATGGTAATGATGAGGATGGTGCTGCTGATGATGATTCTGATTTGATGGTGATGAAGATGAGGATGACTATGATTATGATTCTGATTATGGTTATGATTAGGATGGTGATGGAACTGACGATGAGGAGGATGAGGATGCGGATGATGATGATGCGGATGAGGTCGATGCTGATGATGATTCTGATGATGGTGATGATGAAGATGATACTGCTGAGGATGTTGATTAGGATGGTAGCGATAATGCTGACGATGACGACGATGATGCTGATGATGCTGCTGATGATGATGAAGAAGGTGCCGATGATGATGGTGATTCTGAACATGATTAGGATTGTGATGATGATGCTGATGCTGATGATCATACTGATCATGATGCTGATTCTGATGATAATGATGCCGGCGATGAGGATGATGAGGAGGATGGGGATGAGGACGGGCATGAGGACGATGATGATGACGATGATCAAGATGATAATGATGATGATGATAATGGTGATTCTGATGATGATGGGGATCATGAAGATGATGTTGCTGAGGATGTTGATTAGGATGGTAGCGATAATGCTGACGATGACGACGATGATGCTGATGATGACGCTGATGATGAAGAAGGTGCCGATGATGATGGTGATGCTGAAAATGATTAGGATTGTGATAATGATGCTGATGCTGATGCTGATGATCATAATGATGATGATGATGCTGGTCCTGATTATGATGGATGCCGACGATGAGGATGATGAGGAGGATGGGTATGAGGATGGGCATGAGGACGATGATGATGGCGATGATCAAGATGATGATGGTGATGATGAGGATGGTGATGCCGTTGATATTGATAATGATGGTACTGATGATTCTGACAACGACGACGACGATATCGATGATGATGCTGACGATGATTCTGATTGTGATGATGATGATGACGATGCTGATGTCGATGATGATGATGATGATGATGTGTCTGATGATTATGCTCGGATGATGATGGTATTTGTGGTGGTGGTGAGGATGATGATTACGATGATGATGACTTTGATTATCACGATGGTGATCTGCTGGTGATGATGTTGATGTTCGCCGAGAGGATGAGGAGGATGAGGATGATGACGAGGATCAGGATTGTGACGCTGATGGTGATGATGATTAAGATGAGGATCATGATGCTGATGGTGATGATGACAATGATGATGTCCAAT